GCCTAATTTTTTTTTTTTAAGAGATGGGGTCTTGCTATGTTGCCCAAGCTGGTCTCAAACTCCTGGCCTCAAGCGATCCTCTGGCCTTGGCCTCCCAAAGTACTGGGATTAAAGGCATTAGCCACTGCACCCAGCCCTACAGCTCAGTTTTAAAAACAAGATGTTGTATCATAACATGGTTTTAAATATCCTTCTAATAAAGCATGTTGTGTCATAACATGCTTTGACTATTCTAAATAAATCTGGAATATCCACAAAGGAGATGAAAAAGAATAGAAACTTCATATGGATTCTCACCAATGAGATAAAGCACTATGTCAGAAAGCTATAAAAAGTCATAAAAAATACAGAAAGGTATACAATGTCATTAGATGAAACTGAGATGTTTATTCTATTTTTCAACCTTTTTTTTACAGCCTACATAAAACAACCATGAAAAAGTAGTAAATTCAACTTGATATAATCTTTAAAAAAGTTTCCTAGAATGCCTAAAGAGAATAAAATGGAAATAGAAGGCAAGATATGCTCACAAACATAGATCTATTTTAGTTTCAAATGTGTTTCTTAATTTTAAAAGCTATTACATTACATAAATCCTCATATACACAAGTACAACCATCTAGAAATAGAGAAGACCTTCATTTTAACAGAATGATTACTGTCAAATGCAAACTTCATTAATATTGATTCATGTAATATCCTGGGTTTTGAACCATTGTTCAGAAAACATTTAGAATTTTCTAATTCTCTGCTTATAACAAGAAACCAGGAACATATATACATAAATATGCTTTAAGTCATTTCCCCCCAAAACAACAGCACACTGAGCAAGGTAGTAAATAGGGAGAAAAGTTCCACTTTATTATTCCAGCATCCAGGGCTCCCACCTAATTAATCAAGAGACATAGCAAGGCAAGGAAGATGCCTCAGGGCCAGTTCTCACATCCTAATGTATGTTTCTCTATACATTTCCCCAAATTAGCTCACGGATAAGATATGCAGACCACAAACTGTAAACTATTTAGCTTAATATTATATTTAGTTTCACTTAATCTGCATGCCTTTAGACGGAGATGTACTCTCCAAATCCCACAAACTCCATTATACCCCACTGTCCCATATGTGGCTGTTTCACACATTTTTGTTAATTAACTGCTATCTTTCCAAAAATGATGGTGTATGATGCTGTGCAAAGGAATCCAAACTACCATAGTAAAAAAGAAAGCTATCTACTAGCTGCAAAGGAACTCTACTGACCACAAAGCTCAATGTTTTCCAAAAGTAGACAACTAAGCTTTCCCTATAGATTCCCTAATCCAAGTAATTACCTAGTATGTATCTGGTCCTCTAAGTCTTACCTGTATTGCCCTCTTGTACTTCTGTCCACCATCCTGAGTTGTAGCTATGAGGAATCCATACTACCCTACTGTATAATTATAACTCTATGTCTACCTAGTAGCTGAGAAGATGCTCACTGTTCATCTAGTAGCCTTCATCAAAGTACAACTCCTCAAAATCAAGAGACTGAAACAGCTATATAAATGAAGAGACTGGAACAGCTATATCTGTCAAAAACAGCTGCATGTATCAAAAATACAACTTCTGTAAGATCTGTTTATTCATAAAATACATCCTTCAAATTTTTTTTTACAAATTTTCTTCATCAGAGTATCTTTGCTTGTTTTCTGGAAATGAAATAAATGGACAAAGATAAAATCCCACGAAAAAAAAAAAAAAAAAACAAAAAAAAAAAAAAAAAAAAAAAAAAAAAAAAAAAAAAACAAGGAGAGGCTTACATTACTACCATAAAGCCATCATGAATATACAATAAAAATTACTAAATAAACACTCATTACTATACGAACTTCAAGAATCAACTGAACCTGCTCACAATTTGTTAACATTCTTAAAAATTACTGAGGACTCTAAAGAGTTTATGTGAGTTACATTTTAGTGAGTTATGTGAGTTTAGTGAGTTTATGTGAGTTCCATGTGAGTTTATGTGAGTTACATTTATAACTCACATAGTAGTTACCATATGTGAGTTATATTTTAGAAAGTTACACATTAGAAATTAAAATTGGACTTTTTTGCAATATGCATTAATTTAATTTAAATAATGGGCCCATTACAGAAGTATACTCTTCTACTAAAATAAATATAATTCACACACAAAAAAATTTTAAGTGATGAGAGTAGCATTGTTTTACATTTTTGCAAATATCTTTAATGCCTGGATAACTGACATAAAAAAAAGGTAGCCAGATTCTCAAAATTGTTTCTATATTCAATGGGTTCTACTGTATGTAATCTCTGGAAGTCTCCACTATTACTTGTGAAAGAACAGAGTTCAGAAAAGTAAGTAACATTTTTATAGTGTAATGAAAATAGTTTTAAACTCAAACTACTTGTACGAATCTTAACAAGTCCCCCAAACATTGAATACAACTGACTGTTTAATGTAAAGCCAATAGATCTGAAAGGAATATTATGGAATTAAAAATAACAGTAAAGAGAGTAACAGAGATACCGAAGACACAGTAATGATTTTACTTAAAGAAATATAGTGCAAGGTTACTCAAATACAGTTTCAGATTCTCATATAAAATATGCTATTTTTTAAACTACAATGGATGAGGCTGAAATGCTGACATTTTAATGATTTAAGACAACTTGGATTTTCTTTCATGTTATCTATCAGATCTCACTATAAAAATTTTAATGTTTTCCAAATGTCTGACTAGCTTTAAGACCGAAAAAACTCAAAGATATTTACTCTTAAAGTTTTACAACAGTGGTCTTGCAACAACTTGAAGAATAAATGTTAAAATTTATTTTATTATTTATATCTGTTACAGGATAATAGAATCAAAAGATGTCTTGTGAACATGTTCAACAATTATGGGTTTAAATAAACCTACCTCTTCTGCTGCTGCCTCTGAAAGCAGGCCTTCCTTCTGAGCACAGGTCACATGGAAATAGGCTCTGCACATCCCTGCATCACAGCTAATGCAAACTCCAGTTCTAGCAAAGCGAGGGTCTTCACAAAAGCTACACTCCTGCAACAAAATACAGAAAAATTCTCAAAGCAAACATTTCCAGACTAAAGACTGCATTCTCATACAAAGAATTCACTAAATATTAAAATGCTAAATAGAAATAGTGACCCAATTATGTACCAATAAAACAATAATTGTAGGCAAGCCAAGAGTTTATATGAAAAAAGGTAATTTTACCTATATGGTTCTAATAAATCAAAATTCAACTAATTTAATGATAATAACAAATAATAATACAACCATAACTAAAATTATTCGAGGACTTACTATGTGCCAGTCACTATTCTAAGCTCTATACACATACAGAGAGTCCCCAGTTTACAATGGCTCCACTTCTAATTTTTTGACCTTACAATGTTGCAAAAGCGATACGCACTCAGCAGAAACCACACTTTCAGTACCCATACAACCATTCTGTTTTCCATTTTCAGTGCAGTATTCAATAAATTACATGAGATAGTTAACATTTTATTATAAAATAAAGTTTTGTGTTAGACGACTATGTTCAAGTGTAGACTAATGTTAAGTGTTCCAAGCACATTTAAGGTAAGCTGCACTAAGCTATGATCAGCAGGTTAGGTGTATTAAATTAACTTCAACTTAAAATATTTTGAACCTGCAATGGATTTATCAGGATGTAAACCCATTACAAGTCAAGGACTATGTGTATAAATATATATAATCATTAAATACATCTACTACGAAGAAGAGGTACTATAACTATTCTCATTTTACACATGAGAAAACTGAGGTAAAGACAAGAAATCTGCTTGCCAAAAATAAGAAAGAAAGTAAATGAAAGGCTTCAACCCAGGACGGTCTTACTTTAAACCCACCATTAAGCTACACTAATTCTTAAACAATTATAAAATTGCTTGGTAAATGAAACAAGAGACCAGAGAAAATCCAATAAATAACCTAGGCATTGCAACCTAGAAATCATACATGTTTTAAATATCTTTAAGACAACTAAAAGTAATTTTAGGTAAACAATTCAGTGCAACTAGTAGTGATATACAATACAGCCAATTATTTACATTCTTTTCTGTATAAAAAGGGTAAATTTGTAAAACCAAGGTATGAACAGTTGAAATTACTCCAAATCCTATCAGATTTACTTTTTTATTCTTTTAACTAGCTCTTAAAAGGGTGGAAAAGCTAGTCTAAAAATTTAAACAACTCTGGTAACAGAAATCTTCATAAAAGAAAAACATTAAATTATGAAAGACTGACAGTGGACAATTAAAAAATTGTTTAAGTATTCAAAGTGAACTACATAAAAGGAAACAAATAAAAGGAAAATTTAAAAATTTCAGTAGTCAAATCCTGACATTCTACTGCCTAGTTAAAAGAATTTCTTCAGTAACAGTAGAACACAGAAGGTATAATATACTGGCAAACAGCAATCTAAATATGAGATTAAGAGAAAGAGAAACAGAAATTAAATTATTTAAAGGATGTCAACACTGTGAACAGAGACATATTGTTTAGGATAATTCTCTGAGCGGGTAATTTCATGTAATATGTTAAAATTACACAAAGGATTTCAGAGTGAATACACGGAAAAATTTCCTGACAGTCATATTAGACTATAAAACAATCTATCAAATACAACACAATCTTCCTCAATTGCCTGAATCATTTAAAATGCTGGTGAACTAAGCAACTGAGAACACAGAGGGAGAACATAATTCAGATTGTAAAATGAATAGACAATGTGGTCTAGAAGGCTATTCCAGTCACAATTTACAACATTGTATCTGATTTTGCAGAGGAGCCAGAGAGTACCTAATTTTCAACTACATTTCCCAGTAATATTTTCGTAAAGCAAAATAAACAAGAGGAAATTAGCCTGGACCTGTTTCTGTACACAGAACCTTACACAAGCGAAATTTAATTTAGAAAAATTTCTTGTAATAAACCGAATTTTAAAAAACAAAACAAAACAAAAATATCAAAAAACAAGCTTCAACCAACCACAACAGCCAACTAGACATTAGACAATGTAACTGGAAACTTTCTACTAAATCATACCTGCATAGAAAAAAAAAAATACACAGCTGTAGCCATTTAAGTAATTTCTTTACCTTGGTTCCACATTCAGCCAATAAAAGCCCGCTGCTCACGCTATTAAAGTGGGCATCCCTTTTTTTTTTTTGCGACAGAGTCTCACTCTCTCACCAGGCTGGAGTGTAGTGACACAATCTCAGCTCACTGGAACCTCTGCCTCCTGGGTTGAAGCAATTCTCCTGATGCAGTCTCCCGAGTAGCGGAGACTACAGGTGCCCACCACCATGCCCAGTCAATTTTTATATTTTTAGTAGAGATGGGATTTCACCATGTTGGCCAGGATGGTCTCGATCTCTTGACCTCGTAATCTCCCCACTTTGACCTTACAAAGTGTTGGGATTACAGGCGTAAGTCACGGTACCCAGCCAAGTGAACATCTCTGAACCTTTTCTAGTTGTAAGTGCTGCCCGATAAATACTATCTGTTAATGCTCAAATAACCTCTGTTAAATTTACAGTGATACATCACAGAGAATGCAAAGTTCAGCTCCGGACCACTGTAATAAAATGAGTATCACAATAAAACAAGTCATAAAAATTTTTTAGTATCTCCATGCATTTTCAAGTTAGGCTTACACTATCTGTGGTTTAATAAATGTATAACATTAGGTATTTTTTAAATGTATGTACATTAATTTAAAAATACTCTTTTGCTAAAAAATGCTAATGATCACGTGAGCCTTCAACAAGACATAATCTTTTTGCTGGTGAAAGATGTTGCTTTGATGTGGATGGCCACTGACTAACGGTGGTGGTGGTTGCTGAAAGTCAGGGTGGCTGTGGCAATTTCTTTTCTTTTTTTGTTTTTCTTTTGTTTTGTCTTTTTAGATGGAGTCTCACTCTGTCACCCAGGCTGGAGTGCAGTGGTGTAATCTCGGCTCACTGCAACTTTTGTCTCCCAGGTTCAATCGATTCTCCTGCCTCGGCTTCCCAAGTAGCTGGGATTACATGTGTGTGCCACCACACCCAGCGAATTTTTGTATTTTTAGTAGAGACGGGGTTTTGCCATGTTGGTCAGTCTGATCTCAAACTCCTGATCTCAGGTGATCCGCCCACCTCAGCCTCCTGAAGTGTTGGGATTACAGGCGTGAGTCACCGCACCTGGCATGACAATTTCTTAAAATAAAACAACAATGAAGTTTGCTGCAAAGATTTTTTCTTCCTTTTATGAAAGATTTCTTTGTTGCATGTGATGCTGTTTGAAAGCATTTTAACAAGGGTAGGACATCCTTCAAAATTGGAGTCAATCCTCTCAAACCTTTCTGCTGCTTAATCAATACAGTTTATGTAATATCCCAAGTCTTTTGCTGTAATTTCAACAATGTTCATAGCATCTTTACCAGGAGTAGACTCAAGAAACAACTTTCTTCGTTCATCCATGAGAAGTAACTCCTCATCTGTTCAAATTTTATCATAAGATTGCAGCAATCCAGTCATCTCTGGCTACACTTCTAATTCCAGTTCTCTTGCTATTTCTACCACATCAGCAGTAACTTCCTCCACTGAAGTCTTCAATCCCTCGTCAGCAGTAACTTCCTCCACTGAAGTCTTCAATCCCTCAAAGGTATTCATGAGGGTTGCAATCAACTTCTTCCAAACTCCTGTTAATATGGATATGTTGACTTCCTCCCAAGAATCACAAATATTCTTAATGACATCTAGAAAAGTGAGTCCTTTGTAGAAGGTTTTCAATTTAGTTTACCCACACAATCAGAGGAATCACTATGTATGGCAGCTATAGCCTTATCAAATGTATTTCTTAAATAGTAAGACTTTGAAGTCTAAATGACCTCTTGATCTATGGATTCAGCCATTCAGAATGGCTGTCACGATAGCAGGCATGAAAACACATTAATCTCCCTGTACTTCATCAGAGCTCTTGGGTGGCCAGGTGCACTGTCAATAAGCAGCACTCTTTTGAAAGGAATCTTTTTTTCTAAGCTGTAGGTCTCAACAAGGGGCTTAATATTCAGTAAACCATTCTGTACACAAATGTGCTGTCATCCATGCTTTGTTCTTCCATTTACAGAGCACAGGCAGAGTAGATTTAACATAATTCTTAAGGGCTCTAGGATTTTCACAATAGTAAAGGAGCACTGCCTTCAACTTAAAGTCACCAGTTGTACTGGCCCCTAAAGAAGAGAGACAGCCTACCCTTTGAAGCCAGAAAGTGACTTATCCTCTCTAGCTATGGAAGTCCTTGATGGCATCTTCTTCCAAACGAAGGCTGTTTCACCTACATTGAAAATCTTTGTTGAGTGTAGCAATCTTCATCATTTGTCTCAGCTAAATCTTCTGGATAACTTGCTGCAGCTTCTCCATCACTACCTGCTACATCGTCTTCATCTTTTATATTATGGAGATGGCTTCTTTCCTTAAACCTCATGAACCAATCTCTGCTACCTTCCAACTATTGTTGTGAAGCTTCCTCATCTCTCAGCCTTCACAATATTGAACAGTTAGGGCTATGCTCTGGATGAGGTTTTGGCTAAAGGGAATGTTGTGGCTGCTATGATCTATCCAAACTACTAAAATTTTCTCCATATCAGAAACAAGGCTATTTTACTTTCTTATCATTCGTGTGTTCGCTGGAGCAGCACTTTTAATTTCCTTCAAGAACCTTTCCTTTGCATTGACATATTGGGTATTTGGCCGAAGAGGCCAAGCTTTTGGACTAGCTAGGCTTTTGATATGCCTTCCTCACTAAGCTTAATCATTTCTAGCTTTTAATTTAAAGTGAGAAATGTATGACTAGTCCTTTCACTTGAACAATTAGAAGCCATTGTAAAATTATTAATTGGCCAAATTTCTTTTTCTTTTTTTTTTTTGAGATGGAGTCTCACTTTGTTGCTCAGGCCAGAGTGCTGTGGCACGATCACAGCTTACTGCAACCTCCACCTTCCAGGTTCAAGTGATTCTCCTGCGTCAGCCTCATGAGTAGCTGGGATTTCAGGCAGGCACCACCACGCTCAGTTAATTTTTTGTATTTTTAGTAGAGATGGGGTTTCACCATGTTGGCTACGCTGGTCTCAAACTCCTGACCTCAGGTGATCTGCCCACCTCAGCCTCCAAAAGTGCTAGGATAATAGGTGTGAGCCACTGCACCCATCCCTAATTAGCCAAATTTCAATATCACTGTATCTCAGTGAACAGAGAGGCCTCCAAATCAGGGAGAAAGATAGGAGAACATTAGGTTGGTGAAGCAGTCAGAACACACATAACACTTATTAAATAAGTTCACCATCTTAAAAGAGCGTGTTAACAGCACAACAAAACAATTACAATAACAGCATCAAAGGTCACTTCTAATATTCTTTTTCATAATTTTGACAAATTCCACTTCAAAAGTAAAGTCAGAAATTAGGCTTATATTTGATCCAACTAATTGTAAATACGGTTTTGGTCTACATGTTAGGCATAGTGAACAGTGCAAGGGAAATGGTAGTAGTGCCAATTATCATTTTACCTCATATATGATTCTAAATTAAGAATGTATAGAAGAATTTATACATTATTGGCTTTCTAGGAAAACTATCAATCATAAATGATTTAGTGCTAAATGGAATAATTCCTACTAAGCATTTCTGCAGTCAACAATAATACAAATAAAAAGCATGTAAACGAACAAGTATAAACTTTATCTTTTAAGCAATCAAAAATGTTGTGTCTTACCTTGGCACCGTATTTGGAATAGTTCATTTCTGTTAGTGTTACTGGTCGTAATTTGTCAATATCTCCAAAAGCTACCCCAGGAACATACAGGGCACAAACAATATGAACCCATCTAAGGAGAGAAGATACAATTTTTCTATCAAATATTTTCATAAAATTCCCACACAAAAAACAAATATATAAAACACATGCCATCTCAAAACACTACTGAGAGAATTCTGTGATCAAATGTTATAATCTCCTAATCTCAGACACATCATTAAAAAATATGAAATACCTACAGAATAACACTTAGTTACAAAAAAGGGGACTGAAATTACTTTTCCAGCAGCTTAGCCAAAACTGAGAGTTAACAACTATAATTGTCTTTCGTTTAAAATTCACTCACTGCGCTTTGCACTTATCTACTATTCTTAAATATTTACATAAAACTACTATTCAAATGAAACAAAACATCATTTTCATATGCAAGGAAAAGTAGTCACATTCATTATTTTAAGGCCTTTGAGAATTAAGGATCCTAATTTAATAACTATGAAGTCATTCTGCTGTAATTAAGTAAAATTTCTCTTTCTTGTTTCTCTTTTCCAAAAGCTGCTGGGATAATCTTTAGGGACATATTTTACAACAATTTTTGTATACAGTTTTAACTTATTTTCCAGGTTAAAACTTCTGGGAAAACATACAGAATAAGTAAGTCACATTTTCATTTAACTTATTTGTTTACCATACATCCTACATACTAAAATTTATATGCCCCAAATATAAATATTTGTTGAACTCTGAATAATGCTATAAGACTAAATAAAGAATGCTCACAGTTTCAGTACACTGAAAAAAAATTGGAGCTCTTTCTAATTTGATTTTTTAAAAACTACTCTGAGCCATTTTTAATACATTAGGCACCGTTTCAGCTTGCTTACAACAAAACAAAATGTGGGATTACTAACTTCAAAATTTAAACAGTAGATCTTATCACTTTTTTAAGAAAGAGGGTAAAAATAAGACAGCAAATCTCAATTAACCCTGGGACTAGATTAACAACAAATTTTGCTTTATCACAATTTAAGAGGCTATGCCATGCTATATGGTTCTGGTTTTGTGGTGCATTGTGAGTTTTAAAGGACTAAGACTAAAAATCATTCTACTGAGGCACCGGGAAAAATAGTTCCAACTTTTAAAAAATCTTCTTTTTTATTGGAGAAAAAAGCCAAGGTTCTGAGATTTTCTTGATAGAACGTTTTAATCCAACCTCCCAAATGCATCCTGTGGAGTTCAATATAAAGATACACATCTTTGACAAGCAGCTGCTTTCTCAATTTAATTTCTTCAGTTTTTTCATGCTCCACTGATGTATTAAATGTCGCTATACTCTGTAGCAGTTTATCTTTGATAAACCTAACAGCTGGCTGCTTGCTTCCTACTGACCTTCTTAAAATGTAGTACACAAGTACTACAGATTTAAACTGCCATTTCAGTTTGACTGGCACACAAGTATATCATTTCTCCCAACCACTCATGTGAGGATACCAGTTTGAATCCTTATTACAACACCTATCAAAGTCAATGAAAATCATGGCCAAGACCATTATGGTACCTTTTAATGCCAGCTGTAAATAGTTTTTTGTTCATTTTTTTAGATGCACACAATTTATAACTTTATAATTAAGATAAATCTGAAAATTAAAAAAAAATAATAATCTTCCTTGTTACTTTACCACTGATTTTGCTTGGAGCTATTATGACAGATATTGACTGGGGAAAAGAACAGGAAACAAGCACCACATAAAGCCACGAAAAAACAGAGTCAGAACTGTCATCCTAGCACAAACTATTAACAGATTATTTTAAATTCATATATTTTAATAAAGCAGACTAAGCAGAATACTTCTCAAAAGACTCATTTAAGATTGAAAACTATATTAATCAATAAAATTGGAGTCTGAAGTGCTGCTCTGTATCAGTAAGCCTTTACAACACATGTAAAACAAATTCATGTCAAGTATGTTATTTTCATTCCTTCATTCAGTAATCAATTATAAGTGTATGCTAGGGGTAGGGCACCATAAAGGTAGTTATAAAGATGTATGTGAAGTGCTTACAGCAGAGTGTGGCTCAATGTCCTCACTCAAGAAATGTTAACTACAAGGAAAAAAAAAAGCCTAAAAGCTTTTGTTGAATTGGAGATTTTTCATTTGCATATGAAGAATTAGTTTCAGAAAGATTAACTGATTCCAAATATAACAAGGCTAGCAAGGGACAGAACTAAGACTTACTAAGTATAGAAATTTAAAGGAAAAAAAGAAAGAACTGGTCAGGCACAGTTCCTCATGCCTGTACTCCTAGAACTTTGGGAAGCTGGGGCAGGAGGATCACTTAAGCTCAGGAGTTCAAGACCAACCAGCCTAGGCAACATGGCGAAATTATATCTCTACAAAAAATACAAAAATTAGGCAGGTGTCATGGCAGGCCCTTGCAGTCCCAGCTACTTGGGAGACTGAGGTAGTATTGCTTGAGCTTAGGAGTGGAGGTTTACAATGAGCCAACATCATGCCACTGCACTCCAGTCTGGGTAACAAAGCCAGACCTGTCTCAAGAAAAATAAAAAGAAAAAACTGGCCAGGTACAGTGGCTCAGGCCTGTAGTCCTAACACTTTGGGAGGGTGAGATGGAAGGACTGCTTGAGCCCAGGAGTTCAAGACCAGCCTGGGCAACAGGCTAAATAAAACCTTGTCTCTACAGAAAAATACAAACATTAGCTGGGTGTGGTGGTACACCCGAGCTACTCGGGAGTCTTCAGTGGGAGGATCACTTGAGCCCAGGTGGCAGAGGTTGCAGTGAGCCAATATTGTGCCACTGCACTTTAGCCTGGGCAACACAGCCAGACTCTGTCTCAAGGAAAAAAAAAAAAAGAAAGAAAGAACTGAGGCATAAAGATTTCAATGCTGCCTTTTATTGCAACATAAAGCTTATTTTTAGAAATTAAGGAATTTAGTTCAGAGCCATATTTCATTTCACAATAGCTGGGAGGATACCCAACAAATGACATAAATAAGAAGAGTGTGAGAAATGATAATGGAAACACAACATACCAAAACCTATGTAGAGCAAAAGCAGTAGTAGGAGGGAAGTTTATAGCTATTAGTGCCTACACCAAAAAAAAAGAAAAAATTTCAAATAAACAACCCAATGATGCATCTTAAAGAACTAGAAAAGCAAGTGCAAACCAAGCCCAAAATTAGAAGAAAATAATAAAGATCAAAGCAGAAATAAATAAATTTGAAATGAAAAAATATATACAAAAGATCAATGAAACAAAATGTTGGTATTTTGAAAAGGTAAACAAAACTGACAAACCAGGCTGAGAACAAAAAGAGAGAAGATACAAATGAAATTAAAAATAAAAAAGGAAACATTATAACTGATATTGCAGAATTTCAAAGGACCATTTCAAAGCACCTGCTATGAGCAACTATTTGCCAATAAATTAGAAAATCTAGACGAAATGGATAAATTCCCAGACACATACAACCTAACATAATTGAACCATGAAGAAATCCAAAGCCTGTATATATCAATAACAAGTAATGAGATTGGAGCTGTAATAAAGTCTCCCAGTAAAGAAAAGCCTGGGACCTAATGGCTTCACTGCTGAATTTTACCAAACACTTAAAGAACTAATACCAATCTTACTTAAACTACTCCAAAAAAAATAGACACATTCTATGAGACCAGTGTTACTCTGATACCAAAACCAGACAAAGACAGATCAAAAAAAGAAAACTACAGGCCAGAATCTCTGATGAACATTGATGCAAAAATCCTCAACAAAATACTAACAAACCAAATTTAACAATACATTAGAAAGATCATTCATTATGACCAAGTAGGATTTATTTCTGGGATGCAAGGATGGTTCAACACAAGCAAATCAATCAACATGATACATCATATCAACAGAAAGAAGGATAAAATTCGTATGATCATTTCAACTGATGCTGAAAAAGCATTTGATAAAATTCAACATCCCTTCATCATAAACACCCCCAAAGACAGGGGATAGAAATACATACCTCAACATAATAAAAGCCATATATGACAGACCCAGAGCTGTATCATACTGAATGGGAAAAACTGGAAGTTTTTCCTCTAAGATCTGGAACACGACAAGGATGCCCACCCTCATCACTGTTTCTCAACACAGCACTGGAAGCCCTGTCTTCCAGCAATCAGACAACAGAAAGATATACACGGCATCCAGATTGGAAAGGAAGAAGTCAAATCATTCTTGTTTGCAGATGATATAATGTTATATTTGGAAAAAACAAAAGACTCCACAAGAAAACTATTAGAACCAATAAATTCAGTAAAGTTACAGAAGACAAAAGCAACATACAAAAATCAGGAGCATGTCTATATGACAACAGTGAATAATGTGAAAAAGAAATTTTAAAAGTAGTCCCATTTACAATAGCCACACCTAAGATTAAATACGTATGAATTAACTTAAAGAAGTAAAAGATCTCTATAGTAACAACAATTATAAAACACTGATGAAAGAAATTGAAGGCACCAAAAAATGGAAAAACATTCCATGTTCATGAACTGGAAGAATCAATATTGTTAAAATGTCCATACTACAAAAAGCAATCTACAGATTCAATGCAATCCCTATCAAAATACCAATGACATTCTTCACAGAAATAGAAAAAAACATTATAAAATGTATATGGAACCACAAAAGACCCAGAAGAGTCAAAGCTATCCTAAGCAAAAAGAATCACACTACCTGACTTCAAATTATACCACATACCTATTGTAACCAAAACAGCATGATATTGTCATAAAACAGATACATAGAACAATGGAACAAAATAGAGAATTCAGAAACAAATCCACACACCTAAATGAATTTAATTTGAAAAAGGTCCCAGGAACATTTATTGGGGAGAAGACAGTCTCTTCAATAAATGGTGCTGGGAAAACTGGGTATCTATACTCAGAAGGAGGAAACTACACCCCTACTCTCACCATATACAAAAATCAAATCAAAATGGATTAAAGACTTAAATCTAAGACCTATGAAAATACTACAGGAAAAATTGGGGAGAATCTCCAGGACAGTGCTCTGGACAACATTTCTTGTGCGAAACTCCGCAAGCACAAGCAACCAAAGCAAAAACAGACAAAAGANTTTTTAAAAAGCAGGATCACAACAACATGGACAAAGGATACAATCATCCAACTGAAGAGACAACCCACAGAATGGGAGAAAATATGTGCAAATTACCCAACTAACAAGGTATAAATAACCAGAACATATAAGGAGCTCAAACAACTCTATAGGAAAAAAACCTAACAATCTGATTAAAAATAGACAAAAGAGTTGAATAGACATTTCTCATATGGCAAACAGGTACATAAAAAGGGGCTCAAAATCTTTGATCATCAGAGAAACGCAAATCAAAACTACAATGAAATAATATCTCAGAATTCCCTTTTCTTCACATCCTTGCCAACATTTGTTATTGCCTGTCTTTGGGATATAAGCCATTTTAACTGGGCTTATATCCCAAAGACAGGCAATAACAAAAGTTGGCAAGGATGTGGAGAAAAGGGAACCCTTGCACACTGTTGCAGAAAAAGTAAATTAGTACAACCATAATAAAGAAAAGTTTGGAGGCTCCTAAAAATTAGGTTGCCATATAATCCAGCAATCCCACTGCTAGGTATACACCCAAAAGAAAGGAAATCAGCATATTGAAGAGTATCTGCATTTCTGTATTTGTTGCAGCACTGTTTACAAGAGCTAAGATTTGGCACCAACCAAAGTTTCCATCAACAGATGGATCGGATAAAGAAAATGTGGTACATATACACAACGGAGTACTATTCATCCATAAAAACCAATGACAGCCAGTCATTTGCAACAAATGGGGTGGAACTAGAGATCATTATGTTAGGTGAAAGAAGCCAGACACAGTGAGACAAACATCTCATGTTCTCACTTATTTGTGGGATCTGAAAATCAAAACAATTGAACTCATGGAGACAGACAGTGGAAGAATGGTAAAGTTGGGAAGGCTAGTGCAGGGCAAGGGTGAAATGGTGGGGGGAGGTGGGAGATAGGTAATGAGTACAAAAACTGGAAAGAATAAGACCTACTGTCTGATAGCACAACAGGGTGACTACAGTCGATAATAACTAAATTGTACATTTACAAATAACTTCAAGAGTCTAACTGGATTGTTTTAACTCAAAATATAAATGTTTGAGACAAGAATATCCCATTCTCCATAATGTGCTTATTTCACACTGCATGCCTGTATCAAAACATCTCATGTGCCTCACGAATATATATTACCTACTATGTACCCACAGAGAGTAAAAATACAAATAAAAAATAAAAAAGGAGAGCATGCCTAAAAATTTCCCACAGTCAAGTTTATAAGACTCCTCAATAAGTAGTCGTACTCTCCATAAGATATAAAATAAAAATTTAATGACAAGAACATACTGATGGTTTTGTTACATTAAGTCACATCATTTTCTACATAGAACTTGTAGCTCCTAACAAGAATAGAAAGAAAAAGTCTAAATGACCTTATATGATAATAAACCTCAAAACCTTTTTCATTCTTTATATACATTATTCTTTCTTTTTTTCCTGTTTTCCATTTGAAGCTCACATACTAAAAGGCTTGTCGAATTTTCTTGGCTTTTTATATCTTGAATCAAACTAGTATTATGTTTTTAGAAATATTATCAAGGCCTATAATTTCCAGTACAGCCTACAGGTGAGTGTAGACATTAGCACAAGTAAGGTGTTCAAATAGTATACAAAAGAATTTTGCCAGGTTGTACCATCACAGGAGGTGTCTTTTTATGTAATGTCACAGTAGGCAAAACAAATATCGCTCAGTAAACCTAAATGGTAAAGAGGCCTTGGTTTTCTTCATTCAGAAACAACTTTGCCAGTTGCTCTGTCTATTATGACTGCATGAAGTAACCACTACTTGACAGTGTTCTAACAGAACTTTTAAATTATTAACAAGAAAAGCAGCAAAATAAATTCTCTTCCCTAAAAGGAAGTTCTGTCTTTCCAAAGCTGCCTTACTTATTCACTACAATTTATAACTAAAAATTTCAATTCTCAGGACTGGAAGTTATCAAAAAAAAATATATGTACATACTATATGAATCAGCTAATACTCCCTGATTACCTACAGCAAATGGTAGTAAGAAAGCACTAGTAGTAGCAGTAACAGCAGAGTAAGAGTAAGGCGACATTTACTGACTACTTATCATGTTATAGAAACCTGCTAATTGTTTCGCATGAATCATCTCATTTAGTTCTCTCAACACTGCTAAAGAAACTGAGGCATAAAAAGGTTACATCATTTGCCTAAAATTATAGCTAGTAAAAACAAGGAAAAAAGACCAGAATCCAAAAACAGGCAGTCCAACTTGAAAGTACACACTTTTAATGCTTACTAAACTCCCTAATAACTAGACCAATGTCAGGCCAAACTTAAATACCTACATCAAAGATACAGACCACAGATTCATGGCAATATATCAAAGCATTTGTTATATATTTTATTTTTGGAGATGACAAAGAATGGGAGGTAAGATTCTTTGGTCATTTGTCCTGAACATCAACACATGGGGTTCTCCAAGATTCCATGGTTCTCCAAGATTCCATGGTAGATTCTATGCTATCCCAGCAATCTTCTATGGCAACATTTCCCAAGGATCAGTTTACCAACTGAGGTGAAAATGAGAAAAATAAGACAAATATTTTTTACTAGAGTAAATTTTATTAAATTTTAAAGTCTATCCTTTATTTTAGGACATAATGTACCCCAGCTTTTTGATGTTAAAATATGGGAAATGATGGTGATAATGTAGATAGGTTGCTTTATTGTTATTCTTGTTTTTTTTTTGTAAAGGATGTTTAATAAAATACTGAAATATCCTTATGTGACAGAATAAAAATTTAAGTATCCCCCATCTTATACTGGAGAGGAAGAGGCAGAGAGTGATCTCCACAAAAAACAAAAGGTTGAAAATTATTCTTAATTTTAGTCACCAACCCTAGATGGTAATCTCCTGTAAAAATAAATAAATAAATAAATATGAAAGATGTCAACACCATTATGATGACAACTGCTCAAATGTGTTAACACACATGAGTGTGGATGTATTAAAAAGAACACAGGTCTTTGTGCCACTTATCAATTTAACTGCCTCTCATGCATGCTTCCATGTCTACTTTGCAATAATGGACAGAATTTATTCAGCATTTCTTCTTATAGTGAGCATGACACTAAACTCAATGGTAGAGGGAACTATAAACTCAACGGTAGAGTCATGTAGAAGGGAGGGGCTTTTCAGCAGGGATGGGTAGAGTACATCCTCCTGTGCTCTGTCCAGCCATATACACAGTCCCTCAGTGACCACACAGCCCTGGCTCAAACTGAAGATCACTTTTCCATGGCCCTCTGAATTCAGATAGCATACTCCCCAGGTTTCAAACCAGTGCCCCAGTTCTCCCTGCAGACTATACCAGTTACCTACTTGCCACAAACTGAAGACAAAATGTGGCTTAGGCTATAACCTGCATAATTCTCTCCATCCAATAGGCTGTAGTTTCTCCAACACAGCCTGAACCCTACCTAGGGTAAGAGGTCATCCTTCCAATTTTGTCATGCCTTGGATAATCTCCCTCCGTCACAGAGCACCCTTTAGAGTTTTTTAATGCCATATAGTGACTCTTTTATCATATCTTAATAATTCTTTGTACTAAACTTCTCCTTTTTAAATCACTGTATTAAGTTCTATCTCTTGATAAAAAGTCACACAGACCGGGCCGGGTGTGGTGGCTCATGCCTGTAATCCCAGCACTTTGGGAGGCCGAGGCAGGTAGACCACGAGGTCAAGAGATCGAGGCCATCCTGGTCAATATGGTGAAACACCGTCTCTACTAAAAATACAAAAAATTAGCTGGGCATGGTGGCGTGTGCCTGTAGTCCCAGCTACTCAGGAGGCTGAGGCAGGAGAATTGCCTGAACCCAGGAGGTGGAAGTTGCGGTGAGCCGAGATCGCGCCATTGCACTCCAGCCTGGGTAACAAGAGCAAAACTCCGTCTCAAAAAAAAAAAAGGTCACACAGACCTAGGTTCAAAATTGACCATTCACCAGTTTGTGGTCTTAAACTAATAAGTTATTTAAATAATCTGAGCCCTCAGTATTACGCCTATAAAACAGGAAACTTTACCATCTGCCTCATCATAGGGTCAATTATTAAGATTAAATAAGATTATGGATATTAAGGCCAATGCAGGTACTCGATAACTGGTCTTTCCTCTGGCCCTTCTCCATCTGTATCCCACTGGTCATTTAGTCTACGCCAAGAAGATACAAAGAAGCAATCAGACGAATGTGTGTAGCCTGGATTATCATAAACAGAAGAACAGAGTAGTCAAAAGCAAACATTATAAAGCAAACATAGGAACCAACATAATTAGGACATCAACCTTCCAGCATCTGTCTCCTTGAAAATTCCATCCTGGTTAGGACATAGTTCACAGCTAGGAGAAACACCACATTTACAGGCATCACAAAACCAAGGTTCAGTGGAGTTTTCAGAAGCTGAACTCATAATAGAGTCACTCTCTCCATCAACTCCATAACAACCTAAAAACAGAGAAAAACAATATAATTAAATTGTGTTTATTTTGTTAATGTCACATAAAATCACAAAAGAAAAAGAATAGTAAAGGGAAAAGATGAGGAAAAATATCTGAAAAACCAGTGATTTATAAGAAATGTATTACAATACAGAAATAAACTCATTTTATATGCTTTTTCACCTAATGTAGTATATATAATGACACACATGACATTTTAAAAATAGTTTTAGTCCTACTGCAAAAGCATTAACGGTAGGAAAACACTTAATACATTTTTAATTTAAAAAATAAAAAATGGGCCGGGCACGGTGGCTCATGCCTGTATTTCCAGCACTTTGGGAGGCTAAGGTAGGTGGATCACCTGAGGTCAGGAGTTAGAGACCAGCCTGGCCAACAAGTGAAACCTCATTTCTACTAAACACACAAAAATTAGCTAGGCATGGTGGCAGGTGCCTATAATGCCAGCTACTCAAGAGGCTGAGGCAGGAGAACAGGTTGAACCCAGGAGGCAGAGGCTCCAGTGAGCCAAGATCATGCCATTGCACTCCTGCCTGGGCAACAAGAGTGAAACTCCATCTCATAAAAAATTAAAAATAAAAAATATAAAAAATACAAGCTGTCATTAAAGAATTCAGATTATTATGGTAAATAATTAATTATGGTAAATTAATTATGGTAAATACTTATTGAGCTCCCTTTGTACCAGGTACTAAAATATATATATAAAAGACCAAACTCATGCAAAACAACATACAAACAAAAAAGTCTTTGATCTAATTTTAGAGGTGGCAGATTACACAAACAGGTATAATACAATTGTAAAGGCAAAGTTACACACCTAAAGCTATAGAACAGTTTGAAAAGTTCAGCCTAACGTTAGGCTGAGTTCCAGGCACAACTGAGCCAATCTCTAACTCTATGATGTATCTAATCTGTTTAAAAATTTTAAATTATTCTGTCTTCTGTGAAAATTTGTTGATTACTGAAATGAACAAAAACAATCAGTCATTATCCTTTTTCCTCTTCTCACTCACAAAACTCAATATACTGAGAGGATTTTGTCATTCTGTGTAGGCAGCTAATGTAATAAAAATCCTTAAAGATTCTCATGAACACATCCAACAAACAAGATAACTTGGCACTGTTCTTTACATTTTAGAGTAGGACATGTCATACTTCAATTCTACTGCACTCTGATTATCAAACGCAAAGTTTCCTTATATACATGTCTGGAATTACAAGTTACGGTTGACAATGGGACACAGGTTCGAACTGGTCAGATGCACTTACATGCGGATTTCTTTCAATGCAACACAGAATGAAAATACGGCTATGGGATACAAAACTCAGATATATGAAGCACCAACATTTCATATTCGCAAGTTCCCCACATCCGACTGTGGGACTTGAATATGTGCTAATTTTGGTATCTGCAGGGGTCTTGGAACCAATCCTCTAGGTATATTGAGGAATAACTTATATTTAAAGTTACTATTTAGGCTTTCAGATCCACCTAAAATTGTTCTTAAGTTAAAATATTTTCCTTGATTTTGAATTTAAAAGAGTGGATTATTTATCAAAGCTGCAATAAGAAATTCAGGCAGGATTTCACTAACAATATCTTGTTAAATCAGGTTTTGATCATTAAAATTCCTAAAACTCAATTGTGTCTAAAAACTCAGCATTGATAAGGTTGTCAGTACCTGAGAAACCAACAAAATCTGCTAGAAAGCAATGTCACATTCATAATCATAAATAACTCTTTCTCAGCATCAAGATGCCTAGAAGTTTGTATTACTACCAACAAAGCATAATAAACATGGAATCTGATAAATGGAAATTGAAAAGTTCTGAGAGTATTTCATTCAGACTATAAAAAACCATGCGGAACTACTTACTGACAACCAACAATAAAGAACACTTCTCTACTGATGATAGTCATGACTCCTATATAGATTTCTTTTTCCCAAATGGCGATAGACACACACTAACTTCTCATTAACAAATTTCCCTTCCTTTAAAAAGGAAGCACTGCCCTTATGTAAAACATCCTTCAAAGAAACAATTTAAAGCATATATAATAATGAATACACCACAACTTAATTCTAGTCTTGATGTATCACCTTTAGGTTTGGCCTTTTCTCCAGTCTCCTAAGACACATCTCAAGATTATTACATCTCAAAACAGGTCATTTCTAAAGATAAAATAACAATCACCCCAACATATTTTGACCAGGTTTATTCTAAGAGGGTAGGTCTTGGTGTCAAATTCTGAGGGGCACCCAACAAAGTAACCCCCAGGAAACTGATTACATTAAATAAGCCATGCTGAGAGACATGTATCAGTGATGACGACTAAAAGACTTCACCACCTATATATATTCACAGGTAAGTTTATATATATATACACACACATACATACACACATATATATATATCTCCACTGTAAGATCACATGATTATTTGAACTGGTAAACACTAACCAGACAACTAGGAGGCTAAATTAGAGCGTGACCTCTCAAAACCATCGAAGAGATTCAAACTAAAATAAATAAACAATTACAGTATATAAATAATTGAATAAATACTGAGTTAAACAAATCAACCATGAGAAAGAAAAACAGCCATATACAATTAGTAAATAATTTAAAATTACCAACGTTAATTATCTAGATGTCATTACATGTCAACAGTTACATTTAAGTATTTTATTCATATACTATTTACCTAATATAGATCATAATTAAAATAGCCTAATAGTAAGCAAAAAGGCCGGACGCAGTGGCTCACGCCTGTAATCCCAGCACTTTGGGATGCCAAGGCGGATGGATCACGAGGTCAGGAGTTCAAGACCAGCCTGGCTAAGATGTTGAAACCCATCTCTACTAAAAATACAAAAATTAGCTGGGCGTGAAGGCACGCACCTGTAATCCCAGCTACTCAGGAGGCTGAGGCAAGAAAATTGCTTGAACCTGGGAGGCGGAGGTTGATGTGAGCCAAGATTGCGCCATTGCACTCCAACCTGGGTGACAGAGTGAGACTCCATCTCAAAAAAAAAAAAAAAAAAAAAAAAAATAGCAAAAAAACCCTAAAAAGTTGGTTTGCAACTATGACTTACAGAAGCTGCTTCAAGCAACTATTTGCTATCTTTATGCTAGTCAAAGGTTTTATAACAGTGAATTTTAATATAATCTGAAAGTCAACTAGGCCTTGTGGTTCATGCCTGCAATCCCAACACTTTGGGAAGCTGAGGCAGGATGATTACTTAAGCCCAGGAGTTTGAGACCAACCTAGGCAACATAGTGACACCCTGTCTCTACAAAAAATACAAAAAAGAGTTTAGCCAAGCACGCTGGCACACACCATAGTATCGGCTGCTACAGAGGCTGAGGTGGGGGAATTGCTTGAGCCTGAGATGTGGAGGGTGCAGTGAACCAGCCTGTGCAACAGAGCAAAATCTCATGTCTAAAAAGTATATATGTATTTTCAGATTATGCATGTGCATGTATATATATATATATATAAAATATATAATATATAGATTTATTTTATATATACCATATTAATAGTTATGCTAATTATAGTTACTATTAAGTTATAAATTAAACTATATATAATTTTATGTAATTAATATTTTAATATACTTTCATACATAATTATTTATATCATACGTATACACACACAGTCTGAAAGTCATATAAAACGTCAAAGAAAAGACTTAAAAGGAACTAAACATGGCTAGGCACAGTGGTTCACGCCTGTAATCCCAGCACTTTGGGAGGCAGAGGCGGGTGGATCACAAGGTAAGGAGTTCGAGACCAGCCTGACTAACATGATGAAACCCCGTCTCTACTAAAAATGCAGAAATTGCTCAGATGTGGTGGTGCACATCTGTAATCCCAGCTACTCAGGAGGCTAACACAGGAGAATTGCTTGAACCTGGGAGGCAGAGGTTGCAGTGAGCCAAGATCACAACTGCACTCCAGGCTGGGTGACAGAGTGAGACTTCATCTCAAAAAAAAAAGGAACTAGACTATAGCACACAAGATAAGCAAGGGAATCAAAACTCATTAATTTCTTTAGTGTTATTAAATTGTGGTTGGCAATCATCTTCATCACCTTGTCAAGATACATATTATTTTAAATGCACTATCATAAAATTAAAAGGAAATACAATTTTCTTCTTGGGAGCAGTTTTATTTCCAATAAAAGAGCAAAATGTTATATTCAAAGAAAAATCATAAAATGAAACAATAAATATCATCAATCTATTTTGTCAATGTGCTATGCAATACCACACGGGAAAAAAATAAATTTTCTTTACAAAACAATGTTCCTTTGAAACAAATTCAAACTAGATAAAAGCTGCATTCACACAAGTAGGTAATTACCAGAGAATAAAGCCCTTAAGGAGCTATCCAATTGATTAACTTCATTCAGCCAAATTAAGGTAAATTACACAGTTCACACTTTTTAAAATAAAGACAATTTTCAATTATATTTTTAAAGAGAATTCCACACACACATGGCAAATGTGCACATTTGGACAGAGTTTTAAACCTCCTACAAACAGCCTTAGGAAAGATTTCTGAGACCCATTCCCAGGAAATTCTTCCTTTGTAATCTGGAAGATCGGTGTGCAAGCTCAAAGAACAACCAGCAAGTGGATAAGTATTTCTTCTTCAGCTTCACTATCCCTAAAAAATGATCCATACTGTGTCATTACCGTTACAAGGTTCTTTAGTTGCCACTTTTACCTGTCGCTTATCCCGTATTTCTCTGTCATACCAGTTGGGTTTACTGAGCTCTAGACCAAAGTTCTAGCACAGTATATCTGCTTCAATTCATTTTAACTGATGACTAAATACGTTCTAAAATCTTTCTTTCTTCCATATAAAACATGAATACGGGAAAACATATTTTCTTTTTCATATGGGTAAACAAAATAAACAAGGTATAAACATATAAAACTCATTTCATGGCCAGGCGCAATGGCTCACGCCT